AAGCTATGATTATATATATACTCTGATTTACCCCAATTCACCTTGGATTATGATCGATTTCTTCGATTAAAATATAAGATAAGCTATGATTATATATATACTCTGATTTACCCTAATTCACCTTGGATTAAGATTTAAGAAAAGGATGGGATTAAAATATAAGATAATCTATGATTTTATTGGTGGAAGAAAAAAATTTGTCACAATTATAAAATTTGATTAATTTTGTTTGCTTTAATATTATTTTATAAAATTTAAAATTTTAATTTAATTCTTAAATATACAAATTATATTCATTATACTAATTAATTAATACAAATATTTGAGTAATTTTCTTGTGCCAATATTTGAGTAATTTTCCTCATCCAAATTGGTCACTCAACATATCACTTTTGTGCGATTACTGAACATAAAAAGTGTGTAATTAAATCATCAAATAAGCAAATTATGTATAATATCAAATAAAAAGATGAAACAATTTTAAATCTCTAGCCAAACTGTCTCACCTAAAAAGGTATCTACAATTTAGAAAGAGAATTAGTTCTCGAAACCTGAACACCCCAAAAAGTATAATGCTATTGAAGAAAATAATATTTAGGCTAAAGTGTCATCCCGCACCCTCAACCATATGCGATTCTTCATGCCGCACCCTCAACTTTAATAAGTGCTGATTAGATTCACAAACCAATTTTTTTTTGTCGCCTAGCATTTTTAGAAGGTTTCCTTCAAGTTTCCGGTCATAAGTTGCTGATGTGGAGTTGATATGTTATTGACGTGTGTGCTTTTGTAGAGATGGCAGCCCCGTCATCACTTTGCTCTAATATACACAAATTCAATTATGCAATTGAAAACCCTAATGTGTCAGTGTGCAATTGGAATTGCGCAATTTGAATGATTGAATTGCAAACCCCAAATTCAATTGTGCAATTGGAACGATTTTGCGAAATTGGAGAAATCTTCCGGTGTTTCGATGATGGCCTCGAAGGTGTCGGTTGTGTTGAGGTTAGTGTCGCCGTCGACGTTGGTGGTGGTGTGGATCAGGAGCTTGCCGCCGATGTCACCGTCGCAGAAGGGAAACGGGAACGTGCAGTTCACCACCACCGCCGTGTATATCCAGCCGTGTAGTCGGGGAGGATCTTCTGGCCGACGACGGAGACGGAATCTTGCGATTTACCCGAGAGGACCCACTTGCGATTCTCCTGATCTCTAATGCTCAAACCACCGCCGCCGTGCCCTCCTCCGACACCGTTGTCGTAGCACCCACCCCTGCTCAAACCACCGCCGTCGTGCCCTCCTTCGATGCTACTCTCGGCTTCTCTCTCATCGCCAATCCCTTCTCCCCCCTCATCCTCTCCACCTTTCTCGCCGCCTGGCTATTCCTCTACCTCTTCCGTCTCTCCAATCCCCTTCTCGTCCTCTTCGGCAGCCAATTCTCCGAGCGCAAAACCAGGCGGATGAACTGAAGAATAGTTTTTTAGGAGGAAATGTTAAAAAAAAAAAATCCACATCAGATACTTTTTATGAGGAAATGTAAAAAAAAATAAAAATAATCCACATCAGATATTACCGGCTCCACGTCATCAAGTTTACCGGACAACCTTCTAAAAATGCTAGGCGACAAAAAAAAAATTGGTTTGTGAATCTAATCGGCACTTATTAAAGTTTAGGGTGCGGCATGAAGAATCGCATACGGTTGAGGGTGCGGGATGACACTTTAGCCTAATATTTAATACACTCTTATCTGATTCACGGATTGTATATATGTCATATATATTTTAAAAGAAAAAGAAAAAGTAACAGTTTCACAGTTTGGGTCAGAGGAATGCGACGTCGTGCCAACTTTCTTCTCAATTTCTAGAGTCCAGACAGACACATAACGGTAAAAGCCAGCCTATACCGTTAATTAACTGTTAACCGTCATTTAAGTTTCCCCTGTTGATATTAGAGGAATGGCTATAATAAGATCTTTTGCTTGAACTGTGATGAAGATACCACTATATCATTCTACTGAATTTTACACATATAAACCCCAAATTTCCCCGGAGACTGGGAAGAGCAAAAATGGCGTCTCACAATCTGTTTGTGGCACAATCATCCCCAGTGCTGCTTCCTTCTCATCATCCATCCAAACCCAGGTACCTTTTTCTGCTACTTTTATGTTTATTGCTTTCATTTTGGGCAATTCTTCTGTGCATATGGTGTATGATATCATCGAGATCAGATTTTGGGTGTCTGGAAAAAGAAACCTGATTGAATGGTTGGGATTAATTTTCTAGGTTTGAGGATTCATGAATGGGTTCCCATTTGGGGGGTCTGCAGTCTGCTGATAATCCAAGCTTCTTTTGAGGTTTTTTAAGAGCAACTGTAGTTGTAGAAATTAGAAATGTAGGTGAAGTTTGGATTGGTTTTTCATTGTGTTATGAGTGCTTCGGTGCTAAATCATGCTTTTACTTGGTGAGTGTGGTTGAGTGAAAAGGGAACTCATCCATCCTTAACCAAAGGTCAATTTTCGATCCTTGGCTTTGGGTATGGAGCAGTCTTAAACCCTGGGTACACCCAAAAAATGATTTTACTTGGTGAGTCCACCTCGGGTACACCCCAAAATTAATAAAAAATAAAATAAAATAAAAAAGATTTTACTTGGAGGTGTTAGATTGGGCTCCCCAAGTTAGCGGAAGTATGGAGATGGATCCTTGTTTGCAGAGCCAACAACAAGGACTGACTGGGAGACTACTTGAGCAATTCGCGATTTACCTCCCCTAGCCACTCTCGGGTAGGGGTTTGGGGGCTTAGGATTAGTTTAGCGTAAGCTGGGAAATCTAACGTATCCAAAAAAATATAATCTCGAGGCACTTTACCCAAGTACTTGATTCTAGCATCTAGGTCCAAGACCTTGGTTTCACATGAGCAATGCTTACTACTCATGGTCAAGATGTGAGCATACAAACAGATATATGGCACAGTTGCAGCATTTTCATGGAAATACATACTTGGTTGTTGGACACCGGGATATAGTTAAAAAAGGTGTAAGGTCCTTGGTGGGGATAGTGGATATAGAGCACTCATATCTCTAAAGATTACAATGTCAAGTGTGCAAATTGATCATAATAAGATTTCATTGTTGTTGTTTTCGCTACATGTCCCATGAACTTATTCACTAATCAGTAATTCTCAGATAGTTTATAACGGCTACTTGTGCTGTTCTACTGCAGAGGAGTTTCCGGGAAAATGATTGTGAGGTGCACTTTGGAGCAAACTGCACCGAGTAAGGCTAGGGCTAAACATCTAGTATCAGGTCTTGCAGCATCAATAGTATTTCTCACTCAAGTTAACTCGGTTAGTATTTTTTTTTTTCCCTAGTTACATTCGTCTCATTTATTTAGAGCTACACACTCGGCAAATTTCTTTCTCAGATGGTTGGTTTCTAAAACTCGTTTCTTTCTCTTCTTAGTAAGTTTTAATTTGCAGATGTGACCAGAAAGTATGGATTTGAGACTCGAAGCCAGATTCATCTAAAAAGTATATACTTATAACAAATTAGTCGAATAAGGCTTAAACTTAACCTGGATTCTCTTGGGCAGGTGGTCGCAGCAGATCTTTCTTATCAGAATAACATTTGCCAACTCGCAAGTGCTGCAGACAACCTGCCAAGTCTTCCTTTGGACGGAGGGGATGACAATGGTGGAATGCTGATGATGATGAGAGGTATGACTGCGAAGAACTTCGACCCGACTAGATATGCTGGAAGATGGTTTGAAGTAGCTTCACTTAAACGCGGGTTTGCTGGACAAGGTCAGGAAGATTGCCACTGTACCCAGGTGAATGTTAAGGGTGGCAACTATGATACCATACACGGGAAATTTCTGTTTTGTATAACTAATGAATTTTCGTTTATAACTTCCTTGGGGAAACTGGCTAGTTAGCCAGATGATGTAAATTATGGTTACTCAGCTGAACACAGAGGCTATATCTTTGCTTACTGTGCACAAGGAGCCCCCTCACTTTGAGAGGTTGCTCCCACACTATCGGTGAGACTCGATCCATGGTCATTCTTCCCAAACTTCACCCCTGTGACCAACTGAGCTGCCCAGTGGGTTTTTTCATGGATTACTTAAACATGAACATAGGACTCGTTAATTTTGATAGCATACTCAGACATGTAGCTCGGTGAAGTAGAATTGCAACTAGTTAAGATAAGGTTTTTTGGGTGTGGAGAACTAGAAAGTAGATCATCTGTGCTTTAAATTTTGGTTTTTTTTTTTTATGATGAGATCAATATGTGGCTAATGCATAATATTCATTGTACAATGTTGCAGGGGATTTATACATTTGATGTAAATGCAGCTGCTATACAAGTTGATACCTTCTGTGTTCATGGTGGACCTGATGGCTATATTACTGGGATAAGAGGGAAAGTTCAATGCCTTTCTGAGGACGAGACACTAAAAACCGCGACTGATCTTGAAAAGCAAGAGATGATAAAGGGAAAGTGTTATCTCCGGTTTCCCACGCTCCCGTTTATCCCCAAGGAGCCTTATGATGTGATTGCAACCGATTATGACAATTTCGCCATAGTTTCAGGAGCTAAAGACAAGAGCTTTGTTCAGGTAACTAAAATATAATATTCAGAAAGTTTATTAACACAAATGTGCGTGTAATGGCCATACATTTGATTCGCTAATGATAAACACATGTTTTGTCAGATTTATTCGAGGACACCTGATCCAGGACCCGAGTTCATTGAGAAGTACAAAGCTTACTTAGCGGATTTTGGATATGATCCGAGCAAAATCAAGGATACTCCACAGGATTGTGAGGTAATGTCTAATAGTCAGCTTTCAGCAATGATGTCCATGGCCGGGATGCAACAAGCTCTAAACAACCAATTTCCCGAGCTAGAGTTGAAGGCCCCTGTTGCATTCAACCCATTTACGAGTGTGTTTGACACTCTGAAGAAGCTTGTTGAGCTTTATTTCAAGTAGTAAACTTTATCGTTTCTCTTTGTACTAAGCTTCCCTCTGTAATCGATTTCTCTTCAATGTTAAAATGTATAGCCATGATTCATATTTACTCCCTGTTACAAACAGGAGCATATGGGCCAAACAACAGATTGAATTCAACCAATTAGCTAGTCTAACTCATGATCTTATAAACTCATATGTTCTCTCTTATTTTATCCTGAGACTCTTAACACCCCCTTTTATCTTGAATTTGGGCAAAACAACTTGAACTATACAACTACCTTCTGGTTCAGACAGGGCTTCCCGATAGCTTTGAGAAGCTAACCTTCTTAAGCGGATTCTTGAGAGGGCTGGCCTGTGGCTTATCAGTGCTCCCGCATTTTATGTCCATGATTTCCACTATGCGAAGTCCCCTTCTGACAGATTTCTGTGTGACGGGAGCTTCATCCACAGAACTAGTTTCGGGTTCTAGAATAGGAATTTCGTGGGCTTTCCTGGTGTGGTTCTTGGTTTTGCGCCCAACTTCTGGGCTTTTATGACCTTTACCATTTCTAGTTCTGCTGCTGCTGCTGCTGGCTTCATTTGGCGACGCTTTGGGTCTCATTCGTTTAGGACTCGTAGCAGCACCAGCAACGAAAGAACAAATCGAAGGAGGCTTCTTTGTACACGATGATGATGCTGGTGTCTTAGCAGCAGACTTCATAGATTCTAATTCTCTCGACATTAGCACACTAATCGTACCTGTGGTTCCAACCTTCATGGACCCTCCACCACCCTTGATCGCCTCCAACGTTTGAACCATGGCTTTCTACGCACGTTCTGGGGTCGCTTCCTGCAGAGAGCGACGAACTGATCTCATAAGAGAGACTCGAGAGTTCAAGGATTATCAACACAAAGCAAAACTGTCGAGCATGTAATATATAAACATAAATGTACAATCCAACTATCAGCTTAGCCTTTTAGTTGAGATGACTAAAACACAGTATTTTGATAACAAAGTATAGTTGGGGCATAAGGACATGAATGAATTCGAGTAGCATAAAGTCATGTGCTTCTAAAAGTCATCTACAAAGTAGAATGGTTTCCATGAATCTACAAATTTTATCACTACCTTTGACAAAGCAGACCAAACTTGGTCCCATGAAGGGCCAAATTGGAGACAATTGAGGGCAAAAAAGATGCAAAAAAATCAAAGACAATAAGATAAATATTAACAATTAACCCCTTTGAACCACAAAAACCGAAAGAAATCTATAATCTGAACTACTGTCTGTGTCTCAGCCTCTGAATTGCTCCAAAATGAATTATCCTAAAAGTATTGCAGCAGTAAGGAATAGATTCCAAGTCTCCAACTGGAGGGGAGAAGGATGAGAGGACCAATCTCAATTTTGAAGCAGATGAATGAATTCTGGGACACTCAACTATATATATATATATATGCATAAAAAAGATTAACAAACACCACATTCATCTGATACTCCTTGCAGTAAACTGCGTTGAGCATATAATATATAAACATAAATGTACAATATAACTATCAGCTTAGACTTTTAGTTGAGATGGAACATATGCTTCAATTGCCCGGCATCTAAAACAAGCCCAATTATGAACTGTGATATATTGATTAAATATTCTAGTGCTGCCCCCACCAATATATATCTATATATATATAAAGAAAGAACAGGAGCTCTGATCAAACAGAAAAATGCACTATGAAAACCAAAAAGATATTTTCCACTTTCCACCATTACAGTATAGGTAAACCACCAACCCTCAAAAACAATTTTTTTTATAAAAGATATGATTTTTTTCACAAACCCAAACAAAATCACAATGTTCAAGGGGCAGGTAAAGTGGTAAAGAAAGAAATATTCTTTTTTGTGGGCTTGCAAGATTGGAAGAAAAAGAAAAGGCAAATCACTAGAAAACCCCACAGAACCAAAAACACAGATCTGGACTAAACAGCAAAACATCATTATGGTAAATAATATAAAAATGATTTGGAAGCTTCAGAAAGAAGCATAGAAAAGATTGTGATAAGAAATTTACCAAGAAAGGAGGGTCTTTTAGGTGTTCCAAAGATTGGCAGGCCCAGAAGCTATGGTGATAACAGAGAGCCAAAATCATACAAAACCCAGAAAGCAGTAGAGGCAAATTTGGAAGAATGGCAGGTATCAGTTACTATTATATTGGATTCTATCACTTTCAAGAATTCTACATCAATTCTTGCATGAGAAACTATTAATTTTTTTGTTTTAGGTTGTTTATGCGTCTCTAGTAGGGAAGGGAGTTATTTAGGCTCCTCTTACCAGTCAACCAAGGAAGAGGGTTATGGTTATCAATATATTACTACACTATAATTATAATGCTTACAGATTCCCACGTTTCCACACCTGTGTTGAACCTTGCCAGTAGTAGGATTGGTGGGCCAATTTGCAGCACTCTTTTTTGGCACGTTGATATCTGTAAGTTGTTTTTTTGATTTTTTTTTAATAACTCAGTTTTTCAGTTTTGTCCAACTATATCGTGAACCCATCATAGCTTACAAGTTTATGAGAAGATAATAGTCAATCTAATCTCGGTACTAACACCAAATTGTACCGTTTTATACACAAAAAGTTTAACTCAAACTCAAACTTTCAATGTTCATGATAAAAATTTAACCCATACTATTTCTCATCAATTGAAACATCTATTTTTGGGCTGTTTTTTTTTTTCCTGATAGATTAATTTTTGGTCCTGGATTATACCTTCTTGTTGAAGATTCAGTCACTTAATAATTTGAAATGTATATTTTATCAATAAGTTACGATTTCAAGTAGTAAAACTCAGGAAAAAAAAAAACACATTTGATCCATAAAAGTGTGCCATTCATTAGTCAACACCTAATACAAGTATTTAGAGTGATAGAGTAATAGAAAAGCGGGTTGTCAGCTTATAGGGGAAGAAAAAAATGATATGAGTGCAACAAAAAGTCAATAAATTTTAAAAGGGGGAAAAAAAAAAAAAAAAAAAAAAAAAAAAAAAAAAAAAAGGGCGGTGGATTGGAAATAATAATTGATGGAGATTGATCTGCCTTTGTTTTCTCATCAATCATCATCTCACCAAATTGCCGCACAAACGCATGAACCAATCATTGGCTCTTATTTGGAAACCAAAAAAAAAAAAATTGAAACGAACATCTCTAATTAAGACTTGAGAGAGAAGAGAACCCACATATTGTAAGAGCTTCAACAATAATTTAAGTTTTTGTCGAGTCACTTACTTGAGAATCAAATTTTGAACAAAATCAATAGTCAATAGATCATTTATGATTAAATTAAAAATCAATGATAAAAATTGTTAAATATCAATAGTTAAGGGATCATTTATGGTTCAATTGAAAGTCATGAATACAAATTGATAAGTGTTAATAACTATGTCAACATGTTTAACAATTTAATTGATGATGTTAATTTTATTTAATTATTGTTTTTAACAATACATGGACTAAATTGATCAAATTTGTAGTATACTACTAAATGATAAAAACATGTGTAAGATCGTCTAACATATTCTTATTTGTGAGATGGGTTGGGTCAATATAAAAAATATAATACTACTCAATAATAAAGTGTTTGTTAATTATAAGAGAAAATATAATACTTTTAAAGAAAAATGTAATACTTTTACATTTTAATTTAAAAGTATTATATTTTTATTTAAAAGTATTACAATTTTCATTATAAATAACAAACTTCTTATTTCTGATTAGTATTATTATACATTTTTCAGTATAAGTATTATATTTATATTTTAACCTAACTCCTCTAACATATCAAGATCTGTTAGAGTCTTATAGGGGAGTCACTCATACTAAATTAAATATGGGAAAATGACACTTTTCGTCTCTAAATTATAGGATAATTGTATAATTCGTTCATAATTGTTGGTCATGCTCACTTTTCGTCCTTAAGTTATCATTGGCGTTGCACTTTTCGTCCCTTTACTAACTTTGCAACGTTAATATAGCTTAGGGACGAAAAGTTAATAAAATGACGAAAAGTGCAACATTAGGGGCGCAATTTGCAATGTTAATAATATAGCTTATAAACGAGAAATGAGCACGGAAAGTTAATAAAATAACAAAAAGTGCAACATCAATGATAGTTTAGGGGTAAAAAGTGAGCACGACTAACAATTAGGAATGAATTATACAATTATCTTATAACTTAGGGATGAAAAATACAATTTTTTCATTAAATATTTTAGGGATAAGACATAAAGTACAAATAGGCTACTGAATTATTTGAGAAACATCAATTAAGTCATTAAACTCAAATAATCCCCAAATAAGCCATTGGACCCGAAAATAAAGAGCAAATAAGCCATTGGACCCGAAATAAAGAGCAAATAAGCCATTGAACATGGAAATAAAGAGCAATTAACATTTTTAACAGGTTAACTCCATGTTTTTGCTGACTGGATTGCCAAATATTTATTTTATTTACGTTTATTAATATTATTATTATTATCCATTTGGATAGTATTATATTTTAAAATAATTATAATCAAAATAGTTTTGTCTTGTCAAGATTTGATTTATTTATTTATTATTATTTTTTCACTGGATCTTCTGTTTAAAAAAATAATAATAAATAAATAAATTAGATATAGACGAGACAAAATTATTTTAAGTATAATTATTTTAAAATATATTACTATGTAGGTGGATTATACTTTAAAAAAAAATGTAGGTGGATTATAATAAGAAAAAACGTAAATAAAATAAACATTTGACAATTCAGTCAGCAAAAACCTGGAGTTAACATGTAAAAATGTTAATTATTTTTTTTTTCCGAGTTCAATGGCTTATTTGGGGTTATTTGAGTTTGATGACTTGTTATTTCCAAAATAGTTCAACAGTTTTTTTTTTTTGAATGTTACCGACTTTATTTTCTATTACATTGTAGTATCTGTTCAAATCTTAACCTAATGAAGCACAAAAAGTCAACAATACCTTCCACATGAGAGAAATCATTACATACCATCTGAACACAAGGTGTTTGACAAATAGTTCATCAGTTTTTGTACTTTATCCCAATATTTTACAAATTACAATAATATAGAGAGTAGAGACTATTCATTAAAACGTGCGTGACTATGAGAATCAGTTAAGTATTTTTAGGGTGTTGTGAAATAGCAATATAGCATCGGTTGGAGGGAGTAGTTAAGCGGTTAGGGCGGAGCAATTATAGAAGTTCAAATAAATAACATAACTGCCACTTGGTGGTTGGAAATGAATCTAATTAAAGCGCAAGTCTAACTAGATTTGAATTGCTATCATTTTAGTTGTAAACCACTGTCCAGTACTACTTTCTTTCTTTGCAATTGATGTATTTTCCTTATCCACAAAAAGCGAAATCTCTAACTTAGGAATTCAATATCGTAACCTGATATGATATGTGGAGGTAATAAATCATGATGATTTAATTATTTATTAGGTGAGAGAATCAATGTATGATGCTTATAGGAGCTCACCATATCAGAGGTCACTAGACATTGCGGCTATCAGGACCCAGGACTTGATCCTGCATCTTTACTCATAATCTACCACTCAAAAACCAATTGAGCTATCTGTGCAGGCGCAATCGTTGTATAGTCATATTCGTCATTGCGATGGTAATGAGATCTACTATTAGAGACTGCTATACATCCATTCAATTACATACCACTCTAAATAGAATTACATTTTTTGAAAAATACATAGTTATTTATTTATTTATTTAAACATAACAATTTTTTTTAATTATCAATTTTGAAAATCTTTTGATATATGAAAGGTACATTTGAAATGTAAAGAAAAATAAGGGTTCGTTTAAAAATTCAAAAAATGACTTTTGAAAAATATTTTTTGAGTTTTCATTATTTGGATGTTGTAAAAAAATTCAGTTTCCGTTAACTGAGAAAAATGTAGGCATTTTTGTGGAAAATGACTTACGCCAATTTTGACGTAAGTCATTTTCCGCCAACACTCAAAACATGGTTGCTTTTGCTTTTGTCATTGCCTTCGATTCCTCAGTTTTTATCTATTTCTATATTTTTCAGAATACAACTAAACACTTTGAAAAAAAAATATTTTCAGAAAAATAAGTCATTTTTCACAAGTCATTTTTATTTTCAAATAGACCCTAAATCAAATTTCCTTTATGTTTCTTTTCTTTTGGCTAGTAAGCATTTTAGCCACTTGGTTATTTCCTTTTTTGGCATTGCATTTGGTAGTATCAATACTTCTAACAGTATGCAATTAGTTGAAACTTGATATTACCATTTTTTATTTCGGGTTATTTGACATTAACACATTTTTTTATTGACAAAAGTAAGCATACAGATGTTAAGGAAGTAAAGATAGACCAATTTTGTTCAACACAATGTTAGGTGGATCATAACAAAAAGTACATTTTTAATATATTAAATGTACATTATACAATATAATGTACATTCAGTACAAAAATAATGTACATTCTCTAAATATAATGTACGTTATTTTTGTACTGAATATAC